GTAGACTGCTCTATGTGTGAATTACATGTTTATGTGATTATGTGATTAAATGTTATTATGACCTCGTGTTAGACCACTCGTCTTCGTCATGCCGCACTGCTTAAGGTATGTTTTATATAAGTATCAATGAAAATACTTATAATGTGAATTGTGGATTTGTACATAAATAGCAATGAAACTACTTGTGATGTGATTTAATGTATCATGTGGCTATATGGGGCTTAGGAATTTATCCTCCTGCTGTTAAGCATACTTGAATTCTAGATGAGTGGCGAACTTAGCGGTATGAGGATAAACTCTAGCGGTATAGAGCTAGGTTCCGGCTAGAGAACTTATTTGTGGAAAATTCGATATGGTGTTATCGAGTTATGTTCTGTTGTAGCAGTCCTCTTGATGCAAATTTAATTTCATCGAGGAAGGACCATTCGCGAACCATCTCGAAAGGAGAACACTTAAGTAAAGGGAGCAGACGACCAAAGGAATCCCATTGTCGATAAGACCATTAGACGCGTGAGGACCCAGTCAATGACGACTGAGAGTGGGGTCTAGGTGTCAGGTTCGTGTAGATGATCCGATTTATTTCGCTTATGGATCCATGGAGAACGATATAATGGCTAAATTTCCCCTGTTTTAATTCGTTCATTTTTCATTGGTTGGATTTGAAATCCGTTGGTTAGTTGGGTATATATTGGTTCGTATGCTCGTTCTATGTTTGGTTGTTTTCTTAAATTCTTCGTGGATATCTGGACTCTCAATTTCAAAGACCGAGCCTCGAGTCGCTGTGATTAAATCATGTTAGTCGGAGCCTTGTTTTGTTATCCGAACTCTTATCTCGTGTTGATTGAAATTCGTTAAGTGTGAAGAGTAAAAACCGTATTCGTGACCCTTGTATCAAAAATTGATCATTGCTGTTTTTGACCTTCGAAACTCGGACAAATGTTTTCAAACTCTTCTGATGAATTAAAGTTCAATCTCCTATGTTATATCCGGAGCGAGAAACATGGTGTTATTGTTTTTATTTTAAGAATTTTGACCAAAGTTTGGCGATTTTGCGTCCGGTTTTCTGTTGTAAGATCTCGTAGGTGATCTGGATTCGTTGCTGTTTTTTAGCCCCGAAACCCCGTTGTCTCCTTTTGGAATTCTTCACGTAAATTTTATATCAACCTGTGCCTTTCATGAGGAATAAAGGATCGAGTGTTTAACAATTTTATCTTGAGAATAGTGTCGAAAATTCGATCATTGCGCAGTCAGTTTTTTGTGTAAATCGCAGAAGCTGAGTCTGCCGTTTTTGCTGTTGTTGGCATGTTTCTGATAACCTGGGAATCGCGATGTTTGTATGGGAGTTGTAATTTTATCTCCTAGGTTGCTATGGAGCAAGATTCATCTAAATATCTTTTATGCACAAATAGATACGTCCAATATACGAATGTCGTGCAATTTGTTTTTTCATTTTTTTTTTTTTTTTTTTTTTTTTTTGAAAAATTTACAGCAGGTTTAATGTGTAAATTTGACCTGTTGTAGCCTTTTAACTTGCCGTTCACGCCTTTACCGCCCGAGTATCTTCCGCTTACCCTTCATTATTTTCCTTTCGCGTGGTAGTCAGATTGAATCGGGTCTTCGAGACTCTTTTTGGTTATCCAATTGTGTACTTTGAAAATTTCGCTAGATTTTTCCCTTCCTTGCGTAGGATTTCGGATGGAGTTAAGAATCAAAATTTCCCCTTCTGTTGACCCTTATTTATTCTAGTAAATTTGGAAATCTTGTTTCGTGATACCTCTAAGTCGATGCGAAATTTTAGAACGCGGATGCCAACGCAACTCTCGAGAGAGAGCTCGACCACGAGGAAGAAGAACGGTACATATTCAACTATGATAGAGATAAATGTAACTACAGACGGACGAGCTTGGAAGCCAACACCTAGCAGATCGATACAAAGGACTCAGACGCATCTCTCAGAATGACTCGGCGTGGTAGAATCCTGCGGACATCCAAATCCAGGTCGTAAAGTAATGCATCGCTATGAAGGGAGTCAAGAAGATTCATTTCCAGGAAACGAAGTCGATGGCAATATCAAGAAGTATGTTTCCGCCTTAAAAGATTACGCAGAAATCTTTTAAGGAGGATAGTCGAGTCCGGAGTAAGCACGTCGTGAGGTGCAGAACCGTCTCTGTTTTGAATTTTGTCAATCGTAGTCTTTAAAAAATCTCGTTCTTTTTACTGTTTTCGGAATTTTGGAAGAAATCCTTTGTTGTCTTTCTCAATCCCTTGCGAACATTTGTTCTTGTTTTTGGTTCAAGTGTTGCAACCTTGTGTATCGGTAAAGACAAGTATTTGGTTCCACTTATCATACAACATTCCTTCCGCTGTAGTGATGTCTTTCGGACTGAGCCATACGCTGGCGACTGCTATATTGTATAGTCGTTATATTATTGTCAATAACGTCTCCACCTATTCTGGAGAACCCCGGGACGTAGCAAGAATATCTGAAGATGCGATCGGAGACATCTTGATGGGAGGAAACTTGACGCTGGGGATCCCAAAGTGTGAAGATTGAGAGGTAGAAAATGAGTTCTGCTCTTCTAGGACTGCTGACACGTTAGGCTACCTGAGTAAAGCTGACGTGACGGCCGACGCGGTCAGTTGGAAGGGTCGAGGCAATCTACTATTGTATCGGTCGACATGAGCTGTTGATTTGGGATTTTTCCCGATTGGGGAACTATATTAGTATTCTCTATGAGAATTCTCGTCTATCACAATCGTAGATCTATTGAGTATGGTGTTTTGGATGTTTTGAAAAAGTAGTGGACTTGGAACTCGGACTTGCACCTTGCCATTTCTGAAACTCTTGAAACTTTTGGAAATGCAAAAAGTCGAATGGCATATTGTTTTGTTTTGAACCCAAGCTTTTGAAATTGTGGAATGCCTAAATAATATATTGCATGGTTGGGCCCTAAACTTTTCATAGATTCTGTAAACTATATCCTCTTGGTTGTCTTGGACTGACAACTTTCTTGTGGAACCTTGAACTGAACGCCGGCCCTGGCTGGGTGTAGCCACGCGAAGTGGTGGCCGAGCACGTACAACCGTGCTGAGAGACGTGAGGCTTGCGCGCGGCCGACCATTGACTCGCATGCGAATTGCAGTCGCCATCCCCAAACGCACGAACTCCCCAAGCCAGCGTATACGGCCAACCATCGATGTTTTTCCTGAAACTGTTCGAACCATTTCATGCTGGACCTTTTTGCTAGCCTATTTATACCTTTCCTTGCGAGCCTTAAACCGAGAACTCCAAGTCCCACTAAAATATGTATAAAACCTTAATCGATGATTTCTGATTAAGGAGTGTAGTCGATGAGTCCCTATGCTTTACTTGAGAATTTCTCGAGTCGGCGAATTGGGATTGTCGTGTTGCTTTTGGTCAAGCCTTATGTTTGCACATAAGGGCTGCGTTCGACTCGTGGAGTCGATACCGTGAGAGTATGATCATCTTGGGTTGTGCTGTCAATATGTGTGGTACCGTGTTGAAGTCTCTGATGGAGACGCAAGGTCCGTGTTGAAATCGTGAGCAAGTTATCAGTATGACTCGGTCGCGAGACTGAAACTTGGCGTCACATGTCCACCTTGATGGTGAGGCAGTCGGAGTACGCTGGCAATACACCGAACGGCCCATTGAGGTCTTGTGTGTTGTTAGGTACGAAGCAAGTCGTTGATACTCATGAGTATAGGCCAAGCCGGACTGGATCCCTTGCAAGAGGATGTACGCCTGAGCTCGGGCAGGATTGATCACCCTCCCAGGCAAGAAGGTAAACATATGAGCATAGGGCAAGTCGATTTTGGTTCCTGTATGTGAGTGTATGCCTTTCGAGTATAGGGCATTAAAACTCATGCGAGCGGGGTCGAGTTTCGGAGGGAATGCCCGGACCTCATGATTGGTAATTTCCATTCGAGTCTGTTGTTTTTCTTATAGATGCGTGTTCTTTCACATTTCCGAGAACGGAAATGTTTTAAGGAGGATAGATTGTAGCGCCCCGTTCGATTTATAGAATTTCTCAGAATATTCTATTTATCAAATATTATTTATAAGGTTATATTTATTTTATTAGTCGCGATGTCGACTTAAATAAAAGGTTGGAGTACTCGATCGTTTTATTGGAAAACGTTCGTCGTTCGACGATTTCGGAAAAATCGCATGAATCGAATATAACCCGTTATTATTATTATTATTATTATTATTATTATTATTATTATTATTATTATTACACTCATCAATTAACAGTAAGAAAATATTTATCTCAAACAAATTTCTAATATTTACAATTTTTAATACAATTTTTATTTTAATAAAATCTTATCTCGTGTGATTTGGGCCCCTTGCTTGTTACTCTGTGGGAAGATATAGCATTCAATGAAGGAAAACAATTAGAAGAAATATGCGAAATAGTATTAGAGTGGGAATTTCTCAAGTCACTCCTGAAATATACCTTGGTAATACTTAAATCATTTCATTTTTATTATTTAACATAGTCTAATCATATGCAATATAATTAAAAATAAAAAATAATATCTTATTTTCATGTCATTACTTAGTAATTTTAGGTGAAAGTCAAGTTTAAAATACTGGAGCATCCACAATACAAATAGATCTACAATGTCATCAAGTCAAACTTTTGAAAAGTTGGTAGGATTATTATTTTTATTTATAAAATACCATTTATTTTTCATATGTTGAAATATTTCTATTTTTAACTTTATAATATGCATTTATTTTTAAATTACAAAAATACTTTGGATAAAATTCAAAATCCAACTAAATTCCGATAATTGGCAATGAATAAAAGAATGAAGTTCACAAATCTAGTGACCCTCAGGACCATCATAGACAACAAAAATACATTATCCATGGTAAAAGTATTATTTTTTTCCCTTTTAAATTAAATTCTAATATTATCTAACTTTTTTTATATATATTTTTCAAGGATATGTATTATTGTTTCAAAGAAGTCGTTAATAGAATTGAAATAAATCGTCCTTGTGGTACGATATATGCACAAAATATTCCGCTTCTGTTTTCAAAATCAAAGATACAACAAATTCCAGCAAATGCAAAGAGAAAAATGTCAAAATCCATCCATAGAATAAATTTTTCTTTATTAGATAATGCTAATACATCATATATTTTATTATTATTTCATTAACTGTAGATACGAGATTGTTTTGAATGTCGTGCATGGATCATACAACGCAACCATAACTATGTTTGAGGAAGCCGCTATTGCATTCATTGGTTGAACATTTCTTAAATACATAAAATTCATAAGGAGGTAAAAAATTCAATACAACATGTTTAATGTAGTTATTTTATTTTATTTAAAACTAAGATTTTATTAAAATTAAGGCAAAAAAGCATTTTTAATCCAGTTGGTTTAACGGCATAGCAATTTTAGTCATAACATTCTAACTTTTCGCCTTTTGGTCCTATGATTTAATATTTTGCTGCAATTTCAGTCCTTCAAGGACAAAAATTGCAACAAAATTTTAAATTACAAGACTGAAGTTGCAACAAAATTTTGAAATACAGGACATAAATTGCTAATTGAAAATCTGAGAATTTAGAAATTTGTTTCAATTTCATCCCTCAAATGACTGAAATTTCAGCAAGATATTAAATCACATGACCACAAAGCGAAATGTTGGAACATTGGGACTAAAATTGCTATGGCGTTAGACAAGTAGGACTAAAAATGCAATTTTGCATTAAAATTATTCATCCTGAAAACAACTCTAAATTTTTTAGAGCACTCACCTTGCAAATTTCAACTACAACTAGATTTTTTATACCATTAAATGCCAAAACTAAGATGGACGAAAAAAAGTTCTTTGTCGGTGATGAATCACTCGAAAAGATTAACACACCTTTAGAAAATGACAAGAAGAGAACAAAGGACGATAGAGATGTCGATGGAAAATTTGAAAGGAACTCGCATAGAAAAAAAAAAACACCAAATCACCCACACCTTTGTTGACATTGAAATTTCAAGCGATGAAGCAACTCTACATACAATGCTGCATAAATATGTCAAGAAAATGTCAAAAACACAAAAAGCAAGAAAATAGTTGAAATAGAAAAGGAGATGTCGTTAAGAGATTCAAGATGACACGGAGGCGGATTTACACAGTGGCCTGAAGGGGCACAACCCCTGTTTATCATTTTTAAAATATTTTGTATGTATATATATACATAATTATATATTTTGGATATTTATAAATGTATATAATATATAAATAAATACCTTAATCTTATTATAATAAAAATATATTTTAAAATTTAAATATCATAATTTTAAATTTCATTGTTGGGATCAATTGTGTCGACTAAATATGTTATTGTGTTTATATTTAAAACAAATTCTTGTGTGAAATAGTCTAAGCGTTAGACGAGTTGAGTTGACCAAAAAATCCATACTTATGACATATTTTAATAAAAATATGTATATTTATTAAAAAGAGTATGTCGACACAATGGTTACTGTCTAACAGAAGACTAACAATATACTTAAATATTTAACATTTTCATAACTCCTCTTTCTAAACATTCTTCATAAAAATATTAAACTAAAAGTGAAAATTAAATTAACAGATAAAAAGTTATTATTATTATTTTTAAATTACAAAATTAAATTGTGCCCCTCATACTACTGAGGTCTGCGTCCGTCCCTGAGATGACATAATTCCTGTTTTATGCTTTTAATAAGTTTGTTTCACGTACATGATCATGAATTTTGTATCATGTTGTTATCGTTCACAATTTACCATTTTACTATGCACTATGTTTCTTATAATTCCACAATTAAACTGTTGAACATCAAATCCGTGGCCTTCCCCCAAATTCTCTCCCCGGCGACACCCTACCTCCGCGGCACACTCCTCTTATTCCCGTCGATTTTTCCTTCCTCGGTGTCGGATAGTCACGGCCAGGGGTCGTCGATGACCGTCCCGTCTTTTTTTGATGTCGCGCGCTTCTATTCTCGGTTGATGGGTCGTGATTTGAGCTCTAGCTCGCGGTTGCAGACAGGAGTTCTAGTGGCGGCGCCGTTCCCGGTCGGTGTTTGGCGGTGGAGTTTCTACGTTGCCGGCGAAGCTCTGATTGGAGGTGGTAAGTCCTCTGTCTCTCTTGTCTGTGATTGTCGGGATGTCTTTTCTAGAGGAGCTCTGTCTTTTCAGGCGGGTGGGAGCCTCTGGTCGGGGTGTCTGCGGAGTGGTCGGGCGGTGTGCGGATCTTTGGATGGACTGGACTCCGGTGGCTGCGGCGTTTGGTTGCGGTGGTCGGGGTGAGAGTTGTTTCTCTCCCACAATCCCCCATTTGCCTAGTGGTGTTAGGAGGCGGAGTTTCATCAGTTTTCGTCTAGTGGTGTTAGAAGAATTCTGGTGGAATCAGTGTGGGTTGAATTGGGTCTCTCGGTCATTGATGGGTCGATTCGGGGACTGGTTCGGGGTTAGGTTTCTTCTACTGTATAGACGTGATTGCAGTTTCAGTAGCAAATTCTTATCCTGGATTTGTCTTGTGTCGATCGTTCACTTCTGGTTTGGGCTAGCTCGTTCGTTGGGGATAGGCTTTTACTTTTAGTATTAGTATGCTTAGTTTATTGTGTTCATGTTTAGTGTTTCCTTGTTGTGTTGTCTGTGTATTGTGTTTTTGGTTTGGGCAGTTGGCCCTTGTGAGCCCGAGTGTCAAACTTATTATTTTATTGGGATTCGACAATCGGGTATTACTCTGTTGGGGTTTTTTAGTTGTTTTAGTTTTTCTTGTTTTTGGGTCGGTTTAGTTGCGTGTGTTTTTTATTCTAGCGTTGCTAGTCGGGATTCTAGGCGAGTTTCGACCTGTCCTCCCACTTTTTCAGTTGTTGGTTGCTGTGTATTCAGCCGTTCGCTGCTGTGTATTCGCACATTTGTGCATTTTGATTTATAATATTATCTGTCGTTTTGGGAAAAAAAAAATGTTAGAACATCTACCCTCTCTTTATAAACTTATGGTTGGATATAACACCTTCAAGTATCCTTATTCTATATGTTCTTACATAGCTTGTACTTCTTATTCATTTGATTTGTTGCTTATATTAATTAGACTGTCCACCTATTCAAAAATTAAAAAAAAAAAAAATCTTATGATTTCAAACTACCTGTTACAAACTTAAAATTGAAATTCCACATGCACATGCACCTTACTCTTACTAGCTAGTTAACTTAAAAATACTTGTTCTAACAGTAGTGATGAAAAAAGAAAAAACNCCGATCAGATCACGTGGCGGATGGTCTTTCTAAATTTGAAAACCCACATGCAGCAATGCTCATCCTGGTTTATATTTGTTATATTATATTCACAATCCTGGCCTCACCTTATATTAGTGATTATAATTAATGAATTGAAATATGACGGCTATAGCTACATGCAATTATAGCCAACTAGTAATCATTCTTTGCACATGCATAAATACAAGAAAATATTACAAGTAATATGTACAAATTTAATATTAAAATAATAGATAATGAACATATCACATTTTAATTATTTGATCATTAGTAAAATAAAATAATATAGATACAAATTATTTAAGTTTATATTAATCACTATATTGATTGAGAAAAGTATGGGTAATGTAATTTTTAGAATTTGGAGGGATCGTGATCATTTAATTTAGTTGAAAAAAAATCATTATCATCATCATCATCATCATCATCATCATAGCAACAACTGTCTATAAGATTTTATAGTGGTTTGACTATGTTATTAAAACAATTCAACTATTTTTTTTAAGAAAATTGTTTCATAAGATTAAAAAAAAAAAAGATACTTTTGATTTTAAAATAAACAGCTTGAATAAAAAATTTTGCAATAGAATAATTTATACTTATGAAATTTCTATTTAGTGTGGATTGTTATTAGTTGATATTAGCATTAACAATTATATAATATAATAGTAAAAAACATATGATTACACTTAATAGATGGTATTGATGTGAAAGATAAAAAACTATTAATAAAAAAATTTTGTAACCGAAAAAAGAGAGAAATGAAAATGCTTTTATTATATATTTTGCCCACAATTACATATATATATATATATATATAGATTTGAATTTTCTTTTCGTCCATGATTTGTTTATTATTAGTATATACACATAGGTTGCTTATCATTTACATGTAAATGAACTAATGGTAGTATTTTTAGAATTGCTATCACGACCCCTGTTGTTATAGATCAATCAACATAATCTTCCCTCACCCGTATTTTAGTCAAAAAGCCTTGAATATTAAATACACTCAAATCACTCGAATATCTCAAATTTAGCTTCAAAATAGATTACAAACCAACTATAGCGAGTTAAAAAAGAAAATGGCACTTGTGCTCTGAGATTACAGCTTTGATTAGATGACGCCAGAATGCAAAAAAGAGCACCTTTAATTTCCATTAAAACAAACAAAAGATGCAGCAGCAGGCATGGATAGGTCCT